AGGCCATACGTGATTGGACGACTCTGGCTATAAAAATTCCATTATGTTTACTGAATTTGAGTGCTCAATCAAATGTAACTTATGTTTTTGTTGTTTCTCACCCCTCTGACTTCAACTTTTTTCCAGTTGTAAATATTTTGGGGCATTTGGGTTTAGTATTTGCACAGAATGTTGTGATTGTGCCTCTTGGATCAGTCCTGAGTTTGAACTTCCATAACAGGCAAGCTCTTGGATACGTATTATCTTTAACATGGATGCAAATGTAATCTTATACTCCAATCACATGTAAATGTAATTCAAGAGAGCCATTACAGCAGGAATGTCTTGAGTAACTCAAGTGTCTGCTTTGCGAGTAATTGCTGCTGTCTTGTTTCAGAGATGAGCTCGGTCTTCGGTTTTCATCGGTGAGATTTGAAAAGGCAGACCTTTCCGACTGATGTTCCTTTTAAGGGGTTATTCATCTGCGTTCTCTGAGCTGTTGACCCGGGCTTGTCTGCGTTGACCAAGATTTCTGTGACTGATTATTAGTCTTTCTTGTTTCCTTGTCCGAACAGTAATGACTTGTTTGTTTTTTGTTTTCACACTGAACGTGAACCTCACATTAACTAATAACAAAGCTCGTCTCTGGTGCCATTTCACGGAATGGTTCTTAAAGCTCACACTGTTGGCATGCTTTCTGGGGTGTTTTTTTTTTTTTTTCAAGTTTTTTTTTTTTCCATTATAAGAGAATTTTGACCATGTACAGTATATTTGTAAACTTGCATCAAGTTTATGAATAAAGAATTTTACGAGGAGCATTGTTGGGGAATCTGTGAGTGATCTGGTTGATGCGTTTCGAGAAATAAAATTTTCATTAAAGGCACAATATGTCAAATTTAAATATTCAAAAATGTTTTCAATATTGTTGACGTGTACTTGCATTATCCCAAATGTTTCCAAAAATGTTTAAATCCAGAGAAATTAGCAATTTGCGTCACTGCGTCATCTGTTTATTACATCATATTCGCGTTATTTTTTTGGATACATTTTTCTTTTTGGATACATGTATCAACAGAAAACTAATCTTGTTTCATAGCTCAACACCGTCTTATTTGAATCTTGTTTTCTTGATTTACTGCGAGCAACACATTTGTACCCAAAATGTAGATCAGACAACACAACAGTGGGTAACATGCACTGTAAAAAAGGATCGCTGTGATTATTTATCACAACTTACAAGTATGTTCATGCTTGACTTAAAATATTAAGTTTAGTTACCTAGCAAAATTGAGTTCTCAACTAAATATAAGTGGCATAATCTAAGAAGAGCTTTATTTGAATGAACAGTAATACAGCATTTAATAAACACAAGCGAAATTCTAATATCGGTCTAGCATACTGCAGTGTGCAACAAGTGGCTTATACTAACCGCTAATGTTATAACTTTCAATACAAACAAATGTTTTTTAGTATGATTGATTGTTTTTACCAAGTAAAACAGCACTGTGTTACCCCATAATTTTAATTAGTCAAATAAAGTGACCTTTATGAGTAGTAATCCAGCACTTCAGTAGTAATTCACAGTAATTCGGCTGTTCCATTAAAATGAAACAAAATTAAACGTAACTGTAACAAATTTTGTTCAGGGAAGAAGTCGAATGTTAAGTGTAACTTTAATTGCAAAATATGCATAAACGCCAAAACTAAAGGAGTTGTTGCGGCTGACTGTGGATTGTAAGCATAATAAAAACAGCTACGTGAAATATCCCTGAACAGTAAAAATGTTAATTCTGTGAGCTACGACTTGTACCACCTGACCACATCAGATTTAAGGTGTGTTCAACCGATCAATGAAAGTACGGCGAGAGCCACTTAAGAGCATACGGAGCTTTATTTACGGAATTTACGACATCGTGTGAATGCCGAATTTGAATTGGAGCCCTCTAGTGGAGAATCTTGCATACCGTGCCTTTAAGAAAACATCAGGGACGCCAGAATATACATACTAACACTCTCTGCCTGATTTAAAAGTGTGATGGTTTCAACTCTAATTTATTTTTGAAGTGTAAAAATGTTTTCTTTTCTGTTGTCTAATCTTAAGATGCTGTTGAATGTACACTTAACTACAGTACATTTGAAGTGGATCAAAACTTTTCATCAAACTTTAACATATTGAACAATACCTGTTCTTGTCTAGTTGTCTTAGAACAACTTTGAACTTTTTAGATGTATACTAACTCTTTAGGTTGCTGGTTAAACGTTAACATGAATGACTTTGTAGTTTGCCACAACATATTTCATCACAGCTGTGGGGTCAGGGGCTGTTGCAACATGTCATGAAATTATCAGTCTTTTAAAAATATTTCATGAACATTGTCAACAGTGTCTGGCTTAAGAGTTTCTTGACTTGTCAGCTGATGGGTATATTTTGGTTATAAGGATTTAAAACATTTTACGGTTACTGCAAGTCAGACATTTGCTTTGGATTGAAACACATTATTAGCTAAAAAAATGAATGCATTTATGAGAATTCAGTGATTCTAAAAGTTATATATATTATTGTAGTAATCTGAGCTATGAAATTGCATTTGCAAGTTTAAACTGTAACTAAAAACTAGGGACGTTATAAGCGTCTTGTTAAAATGGAAGATTATATGAATTGAATAATAATTCCACCTTGCCACATAGCTCTTTCCATTTCTGCACACTTATGGTTTCTCCTCTACAATTAACAATGAGACCAAAGCTTTTGTTTTCTCTAGGTCTATTATAACTTAAGCTGATTTGATAATGACGTTTGTATTGTATTTGTATTGCAATTGACTATTTGTGAGGTCACTGGAGTTGTAACTATTGCTTAAATTAACTTTAGAACACTGGTAATCATACATCAATAAAAAAGTCAATGAATATATCCATTTATTGAATAACTCGCCATTTAGAAAATGTTGTAGCCTAGAAGGAAAAAAGAAAACAGGTTGTTGCCCTGAAATTTTCCAATTATAAATGGTATATAATTTATAATACATGTGATATTTGGTGGATTTTGAGCAGCTGAAAACTTTAGATGGCAAGGGTATCCAAGCAATTTGAAAACATATTAGATAAAAGCTTTCAGGTCAGGTTTGTAATGTTGCTTACACTGGTTGGGGGTTGTTGGAATTAAGATAAATCACTTAAATTTACTTTAATCCACAATACAATGAACAATTTTTTAAAAAAAAAAAATTTTTTTATTTTCACGCACTTGCACGTGCAAAGGATTTAAGCGCCTTTTAGGCAGAACGCGGAATGCACAGCGCTATATGAAACCCATTAATTTCAAGGACTTCCAAAGATACATAACAGCTACAAGTGTATGAAAGTTGATAAGTCAAAAAGCAAACAGCCATCCACAAATAGTCTATAATACCACAATTCCTCCATTCAATTAGGCCTAAGTTTAAAGACCCTCTGTAGTGAAAATTAAGTTTGTTGTTTATGTCTATGTGGTGTTTTTTTAATATGCTTTAAGACAACATGTGAAGAGTTCAGATGCAAAAGCCTGTAAATGCCATTTGAAATTTTCTTCTTTAATGATGATTTTTATCAAACTTGTATATTTAAGTTCAGTAATTTCACTTAAATAACAATTAATAGGGAATTATCATTGCCATTTAAGTGAAATCACTTAACTTAAATATACAAGCTTGATAAAAAATCATCATTAAAGAAGAAAATTTCAAATGGCATTTAGAGGCTATTGCATCTGAACTCTTCATGTACAAATGCATAGGTCAACACCATTGCTGAGTGATCTAAAGACTCAAAAACGCAGTTTGAAATCGCTGGCATTTCATACGTCACAAACTACATTGTAACCAATCAGATCAACGTGCCGGACCGGCAGGCTTTAGCACATCAACTGCTGCAAATCGGGAGTATCAAGAGAAATCAGGTTTTAATTATAATATATATTTCTGTTGATATGGAAAATCGAGTACTATTAGCATGATAGCGCGGGAGAATTCTGTAACTGTATATGACATATTACGATGTTATGATGAACTATATGCCTTTTTCTCCTTAAGGGATACTGATTTTTCGAACAGGAACCATGTTTGTTTAACATTAGCAACACATTATTATCTGTTTGTAATGTAGTCAAGCCAAAGGCTAATCAATTACCGGCATGTGTCTAACGTAAAGAGAGATACAACCACACATTAACATTCTTGTACGTCGACTTGTACGAGCCTGACTGAGTGGAGGCAGGGCTCAATTGCATATTACTAAATGAGGCAAGCGTGTGTAGATTCAAGCTATTTAAAGGCATTCATTGGAAGAAACGTTAAATGTGCCATTTTGATGATCAAAGATGAGTTTTAAGGGATACAACTATTGACTACAAGGAGACTTTAACTCTTTCCCCACCACCATTTAAAAAGCTGTCGGCCAGTGACAACATTTTTGATAGTTTTCACATAAAGTTTATGGCCCCCGGAATATTTTGTAAGGGACTTCTAAGGGACTAAAGGACTCACACCTGGTAATCTACGGACAGTGCTGAAGTTTCCAAAAAGTCTCTGTACTTTATACGTTGTGCTGAAAGATTCTCAGCTTACCTTTTATTCTTTCTGCCTTTTACACAACTGACGCGAACAATACCACCCGCTTAGTTCAGTATGGAATGTTCTAGAATGGTGGGAATGTAGCCTGATCTTCAGTTTTTACAAAGCCAGACATTTAATCTTAAGTATCATGTGAACCTCTAGTGTGTGTAATGTAAAATCAAAGAATTTAGTTTTTTTGCATCCGATAGCATTCCATTCGGGCTGGTTGTAGCAATTCATGGTTTAAACACTGGGTCCACAGATCTTTGACCCATAATGACTATGGCATTGTTTAACTGCCCTGCATCAAAGCACCTGATAGGCTGTTGCTGTGCTCATTCATTCAAAGGTACCTTTCACCTAAATGCTCTTGATAAGCTCAAGCTTCGCAGGATAAATGTGTTTACGGTTTTGGACGCTACACTGTGCGAAGGTGATCTTCAAGGAGTAGTCGCAGATTGTCAGGTGAGGATTGAAATATTCCTAAAATCGAATTCTTTTAAAATAGAATTTGCGCTGACAAATTACAATTTTTTTCTTGGTCAGTCCATATATCAGATTTCCATTCTGCTCTTAGTTCATTATGAAATCCTTTTATTGTGTGAACAGTATTTATTTTTTTCAACCAAATTCAGCTTTCCATCAGAAGTGTAAAAAGCTAAGTATCAAGCTGTTGTTTATTCATTTTAACTTATGAGAAACATTTACAAAACCAAATTACATGTTGTTGGTTTCAGAATATGTCAAATGACTACTCTGTTTTTATTATGAAAGGTGAATGCCAATTACAAGGTACTGTTTTAGCTTTTTTCCAGATGTTGCAGCATGTGTAGTGAACGATTGCATATCTTTGATTCTTAGGAAGCTCTCAGCATATAACACTACTAAACAAATAGACAATTAGATATACACAAGGTAAGGCCCTCTTACTTTATTCCTTAATACCTGTAAATTGGTTTACAGTAAGTTTCTGTACTATAAACGGAGGAAAGCTGTAATACACTGTAAGAACCATTTTTGAGAGCAAAAAGAAATCAACTTATAATTTTTGAATATATTACAATTCACTGTGTTACAGCTCACATTTAATGTTTTTTTTTTTTCCATGATTATGTTTCTTCTTAGAATTTTTGGTCGGTTATGTACATTAGGCTTTTACATCACATATTATGTTGTTAAATGATTGTTTATTGCATTGTTTGAGTGTCATGTTTGTTACCATGATGGCATTTTGTATTTGTGTACATGACTCTGGTGCGTCTTTTATATATTAATATGTGCGTCAGTTTGTAAAAAAAAATAGTTGTGATGAACCATGATTCATTTTCTCTTTACCACCAGTGTTATTGTAAAAAACATACAGTTTAAATTGTAAAATTCTCAGGTTGTCCTGTAAATATTTGACTGTATTTTTAAAAAATTTCTGGATGTGTAAGATAAGTTGGCTTTTGTTTTTCGTGGTCCTTTCTCTTCTGTTTCCCTTCATTCTTTCTTCTCTCTTGTTTTTAAGGTTGTGTAAGAAGATGCGTCATTCAGCACCTCTCGTGTTGTTGTCGCTCTTATGCGTATTATTTGGAATAGATGGTGGCAAAGTGCTGGTGTTTCCACTGGATGGAAGTCACTGGGTGAACATGAAGGTCCTGATCGAGGAATTACACTCACGAGGTCACAACGTGACGGTGCTTAGAGCCTCCAACAGCTGGTATATCAAGGAGGAGTCTCCTTTCTACACCTCCATCACCATTCAAAACACAGGAGGATTTGATGAGGAATTCTTTGGTTCAATAATCAGCAATCTCCTGAAGATTAAAAGAGAAGGACATTCCATTTGGAACCGCATTCAGCTTGAGTATGAAATCATCATGAAGTTTAAAAGCATGCATGAAGATATGTTGCAGATGATGGAGAGATTATTAGAAGATGAAAAAATGATAAACTCAATCGAAGATGGTAAATATGACGTGGTGCTTGCAGACCCAGCTTCTGGAGGTGGTCCAATCCTAGCTTACAAGTTTAATATTCCGTTAGTTTTCAACGTTCGGTGGACGATTCATGGAGAGGGACATTTCAACATTGCTCCTTCCCCCCTGTCTTATGTCCCTGTCCCAGGAGTGGAGCTAACAGACAAGATGTCATTCCTTCAACGTGTCAAGAATGTTTTGACCTACTTTTTCACCCAGTTCCAGATTGCAATCATCGCTAAACCTGCCTATTCCTCTTTTTGTCGCAAACATTTTGGCCCCAACGTTCATTATTTTTCTCTTTTCCAGGATGCCGACATCTGGCTCATGAGAAATGACTTTACCTTTGAGTTTCCAAGACCCACAATGCCCAATATCGTCTATATGGGCGGCTTCCAGTGTAAACCAGCCAAGCCCCTTCCAGATGATCTTGAGGAGTTCGTGCAGAGCTCGGGAGATCATGGAGTCATCGTCATGTCTCTAGGCACCCTTATTGCTCAGCTTCCACAAGACGTCACCAATGACATAGCAGCGGCTTTTGCTCAGCTTCCTCAAAAAGTGATTTGGAGATATATAGGACCTCGACCTGTGACCCTTGGTAACAATACCTTACTTGTGGACTGGCTCCCTCAGAATGACCTGCTTGGACATCCTCAAACTAAAGTGTTTGTGGCACATGGAGGCACCAATGGAGTTCAGGAAGCCATCTATCATGGGATTCCCATTTTGGGTCTACCATTAGTGTTTGACCAGCCAGACAATCTCTCCAGGATGCGAGCAAAGGGAACAGCAAAGATTGTGGATATTGCGACTCTGGACAGGAATGTGTTTCTTGAGGCATTAAAGGAGGTTTTGCAAAACCCATCTTACAGGGAGAACATGCAGAGACTGTCTAGATTGCATCACGACCAGCCAATGAAACCTCTTGATCGTGCCGTCTTCTGGATTGAGTTTGTCATGAGGAATAGAGGAGCCCCTCATTTACGAACACAGTCTTTCAGAATGTCCTGGATCGAGTACCACTCTATAGATGTTATTTTTACTCTAATGGCGACACTTTTCGTGTTTGCATTTTTGATTACATATGTGATTCGATATCTTTTTAGAGTTCTTTTTAAAAAGAAAGTAAAATGTGCATGACGTATAATGTATAACATGATGTACTGATGATTTTGTACTGACTATTTTTTTAGTTTTTTTTTGTTGTCATTATCATTATTTTGTCAATAAATGGCTTATCATTTATTGTCGGTCGAATCTTGAGCCTCAATAGATGCAAACTGTGATTAATCCAAGGACTAAAAAAAAGTTTTCCCTGGCATTATGAAGTTTATTTTTTTGTTAAAATGCAGTTTAAAAGTTTGACTTCAGTAAGACTAATTTGTCTATTTGAATGTCATGTAAAAGCTTTTAACAGAAAATATATTGATCACAAATACTTGGACAGATGAAGACTCACTGTAAATCCATTATGACTGTTGTGATTGACTTCAGATTATGAAGCAATAAATGACTGAATAACTGCCCAATTGTACAGATTACAGACTGAAAGTTTATTTCAATCCAATGCTGATTCTTCTCCCTCTTCTAGAATGCAGACATGATTTCATAATTTTTTTTTCACCCTCTTCCATGATGCCAACAAATCATTGGTCATTGGTGCCAACTGCATTCTGTAACTGTTATGACACTTTTCCACTGTATGGTAGCTTTGTACGGCTCACTGTTGGGGGTTTTCCACTGTGTACAGTACCTAGTACCTGGTAAATATCGTCCTCGAGTTATCGCCCTTGGTGTGAACGGGCCTCTATAGTTGAAAAAGATTGTTTTAAATGATTAGTTCACCTAAAAATTGAATATGTTTTATCATTTACTAACCGTTGTTCCAAATCTGTATGACTATTTCAAGACAATAATAGGTATTGTATTTATCATTGTATTTGTGAAATCGTGTGTACTCTTTTAATTCAGTTATATTCTTTCTTATCAAAGGTGTTCAATTAAGATGCATCACTCCACCATTCTTGGTTTGTTCATCCTGTTATCTGCTCTGTCAAGATCTTATGCTGGTAAAGTTCTGGTCGTCCCCGTGGATGGAAGTCATTGGATTAATATGAAGGTCCTCATTGTGGAGTTGCATTCAAAAGGTCACAATATCACCGTGGTCCGAGGGTCTAGCAGCTGGTACATTGAGGAAAAGTCTCCTCTCTACACTTCCATTACTGTGGACACTGGCGAATTTGACGATGACTTCATGGAGAAGTTTCTCCCTCACATATTGAAAATGCAGAGACAAGGAAGATCATTTTGGAATGAACTGGCGCTTGCCGATGAAACTTATCGGAGGTTTACAGAAATTCATCAGCAAATATGCAACATGACAGCTACAATGTTTGAAAACGAGACCTTGATGAATTCACTGAAAGATGCTGCATATGACATTGTTCTGACGGATCCTGCTTTTGGAGGTGGAGTGCTACTGGCACACCGTCTTGACCTCCCTCTTGTGTTTAATGTCCGCTGGACCATGTACGGAGAAGCCCATTTTGATATAGCTCCATCTCCTCTCTCATATATACCCGTTACAGGGCTACAGCTAACCGACAAGATGACTTTCAGTCAGAGAGTAATGAACGTGATGACGTATATAATGATTCTTTATAAAAATTCCAAATACTTTGGTTCTCCTTACCAAGAGTTCGCCCAGAAATATTTCGGCCCCAATGTCGATTTCTTCTCCCTGCTCCAGAATGCCGACATCTGGCTAATGAGAAACGACTTCACGTTTGAGTTTCCACGACCCACAATGCCAAATGTCGTCTACATGGGTGGCTTCCAGTGCAAACCAGCTAAGCCCCTTCCAGATGATTTGGAGAAATTTGTACAGAGCTCAGGAGAGCATGGGGTCATCATCATGACTTTAGGAACTGTTTTTGGTCAGCTTCTGAGTGAAATCAATGATGATGTTGCTGCCGCTTTTGCCCAACTGCCTCAAAAGGTTATTTGGAGACACACAGGACCACGGCCTGCCAATCTTGGTAATAACACATTGATTGTGGACTGGCTCCCACAGAATGACCTGCTTGGACATCCTCAAACTAAAGTGTTTGTGGCACATGGAGGCACCAATGGAGTTCAGGAAGCCATCTATCATGGGGTTCCTATTGTTGGCATTCCTTTAGCTTTTGACCAACCTGACAATCTCTCCAGGATGCGAGCAAAGGGAACAGCAAAGATTGTAGATATTGCGACTCTGGACAGGAATGTGTTTCTAGAGGCATTAAAAGAGGTTTTGCAAAACCCATCTTACAGGGAGAACATGCAGAGACTGTCCAGGCTGCATCACGACCAGCCAATGAAACCTCTTGATCGTGCCGTCTTCTGGATTGAGTTTGTCATGAGGAATAGAGGAGCCCCTCATTTACGAACACAGTCTTTCAGAATGTCCTGGATCGAGTACCACTCTATAGATGTTATTTTGACTTTACTGGCAACAGTTTTTATATTTGCATTTGTGACTGTTTATGCAATTAAATATTTTTGTCTAGTTGTATTCAGAAAGAAGGTGAAACGTGAATAATAGTGGATGAAAATATCAGTTAATTTGAAATGTTTCCAGATTGTTTCCTGTTAATTTTTATACATTTAAATGGATGAAAGAAACAATGCTCTAGTTCAAAATATATTATAAATAATCATTCTCTATACTGTGTGTTTCAAGCAACATTTTTGCTCTTAGTGTACCACAATCTAGTATATAATTAGGACTTGCTACAGACAAATATCATTCACATATATCAGTGACAGTACATGGGCTCAAATTAATCCCAATCATTATAATTTAATTAGTTTTTGTGTTTATGATTGATTCAACGTAATTTTGAATGACTTCTCTGTAAGTTTTTGAACTCTTATCGGACAGTTTTATGAATATAAACACCCTGTAATAAAGAGGCTGTGATCATGTGTACATGATACGTTATCACCCCCTGACTCTTGTACATAGTGAGACTGTGTATAATCAGTTAATTGAAGCAAACTACAGTGACTTACAGATGTAACATCTTCTAACCTTATTACTGAAGTGGCATTTCTTGATGGGAAGGGATAAGTTAACCCTTAAATGCATTTATGTTTAACCAATCATTATTACATATTCAGGTCTTTAGCGACCCGGATCTATATCTATTACGGATGGATCTCTACCTGTCGTAAAATTATAAAACATCTCCTGATAGACGAGTGAGTCACAATTACATAATCATTCATATAAAGCAAGTTTTGTTACCTTTTGGAGTTTGGAAGGGTTCGGTTTGAGCAGATGTTTTAAACCATCATTACTGTCCTCTTCAGAGCTCATTTCCCAGTAGATTCAGCTTCTGGGTCATTTTCTTGATCTGAAACATATTATCAAAACTATCATTTTCAACATCTTCAAAATCAATATTTTGATCGCTGACAGCTGAGGTGCTACTGGCTTTTTCACCAGATCCACCATAAACTGACAGAGACACTAATATTGAATCGCATTCAGTACTTGCTCTGCAGTAAATCCCTGAACCATGTATTTTTCTATATCAAAAATATTGAGAGTAGCCGCCCTAGCCTACAATGTTAGTGTGCGGTCCTGAATATGCACGAATTAACATTGGAAGGTATAGCTATATGTTGAAAGATAGGTTACACTACAACTTACCGAAATATTTATCATGTGAAATCGCTTGCTAATCAATGTTTCAACCGCGGAAAAAACGTCATAGCTTGTAAACATTGTAATCATGTAAGTTAACGTTACCTCAGGAAAGCCATTTACCAGAGCATGTTAAATGAACTAGGCCTAGAACATGCTCTGTTTTGCTAAATATGCACTATTACACACTTAGCCTATTATATGTTTACTCTTATCATTAACGTTATTATTGTTAATACACTAAAACACATATTTGATTTGTTCATTTTAACATTTAATAAATTACCAGCTGTCCATGCTAACGTTTACAGCATTAGGCTATTTGAGAGGTTTTTTTCCTGAGAAAAATTGACATGTAAGTTAGCTAGGCTACCTAATATTTCCAAATTAATCGATAGTGAATCAAAACCGGAATCATTGAAATCGTGAAATTTATAACAAGCACTAATAAAGCAGTAGAGCCTATGTAAACATTGATTGTAACTTAATGAGATTCTGTTTAGTATTGTTTTGACACTATTATTGGTTACATTTTTACATTATTTTACGGGAAATAATGGATTAGAAAAAGTTTAAATGATTGAATGGGCCCAAATTAAAGTCCCCATGAAATAAAAATCGACCATACTTACTTTGTTTGCCTAAATTGATCGTTTTGTGGTGAACAATTCATATGCAAGTCAATCCACACAAAAAAAATTTTTGGCTTTGTAAACTTTAATCAAATTTTGAAAATGCCCCTCCCTTCTGCATTGGAGGACCTTGCCCGATGACGTAGGCCTTGCGGTTTGGGTGTCTCCCTAACGTCCATAACCACGCCCCTCCAACTGACAGCTGCTGTGTGTTTGCGAGCGCCCAGCGAGCATTGATTGACAGCGTGTGTAAACTTGTCATCCTCCATTTCAGAATGAAACACCCATTTTTCTAGATCAAATCAGGTGCTGGTTGGAAAAAAAAAACTATTTTGCCTCATTTAGTATTCCATTTCTCTCGGAAATACGTCACAACACTGAAGAAAATTCGTTTGCAACTTCCGGTTCACGGGGACTTTAAGTACCGGTATGCTACTCCTAATCGCCATCTAGTGTTTGAAAGAAATACAGCAAGTAAATGTTGAAAACAGCAAGTACATTTCAAAGAGGACAAGTGAGTTTCTTATACATATTGTGATTCTTGAGAGATTAAATATAAGAATGTTTTACAAATATTTTTCAAGCTGGCTCTAACAAGCCAACATTCTTACTTTGTTTGATTTGTAATCAAATCTCAGTTATGATTTGTGTTTTCATACGACAGACATATCATCATTTCATCAACTGATGCTTTTGTTTCATTGGTAAAAAACTGTATTGGGGTCAATAAGTTTGTTGTTGTAGATTAATAAGCTATTGTATGTGGTCGGTAGAGAATTTTGAAATCAATGCACTTCTCAGAATAATATCAAGTTTAGACATGCATTGTGTGCAGAGAGGAGTGGTGTTAGCTGGGTAGGGCTTGTTTCACACCATTTTAGTAGTGGAATGCAGTGAGAAATTTGTCAGTCGCATGTTTGTGTGGTAAGTGAAGCAGAATACCTTTATTTATCCTAAACTATTATAATAAGTGGCATATTGTGTGTAACTGAAATGTATTGTAACTTTCTTTCTTCAAAGATTAAAATCGAAGATGCATTACCTCCCTGTCACTTGGCTAACATTCTTGAGCATATTATCTCAAGTGTCAGGAGGTAAAGTGCTGGTGTTTCCACTGGACGGAAGTCACTGGGTGAACATGAAGGTCCTGATCGAGGAATTACACTCACGAGGTCACAACGTGACGGTGCTTAGAGCCTCCAACAGCTGGTATATCAAGGAGGAGTCTCCTTTCTACACCTCCATCACGGTTTCTAATAGCGGTGGCATTGAAAAGGAAATGCTTGATGCATTTACAAGACATATTCTGGTCATCAGAAGAGAAAAGTTGTCCATCTGGACTTTCCTCGCATTGACATCCGAGGTTGCAAGGGTATTTGAAGAGATGCATTGCAATCAACTTGCCTTCACTGGAAAAATATTTGAAAATAAAGACTTAATGGATTCACTTCATTCCGCAAAGTATGACCTTGTTCTGACAGATCCGGCTTTTGGAGGCGGATTTTTCCTGGCCCATCGTCTTGTCCTCCCTCTTGTGCTAAATGTCCGTTGGACGATGGATGGAGAAGCCCATTACGAAATAGCCCCTTCACCACTGTCGTATGTTCCTGTACCTGGAGTAGAGCTGACTGATAAGATGACGTTTCCTCAACGAGTGCAGAACGTAATGGCGTACTTGTTTTTCCTATATCACAAAACCAGGTTTATCTCCTCACACTACCAGGCCTTCTGCAACAAATACTTTGGATCAGAAATCAACTACAAATACCTTCTTCAGGATGCTGACATCTGGCTCATGAGGAATGACTTTACCTTTGAGTTTCCAAGACCCACAATGCCCAATATCGTCTATATGGGCGGCTTCCAGTGTAAACCTGCCAAGCCTCTTCCAGATGATCTTGAGGAGTTTGTGCGGAGCTCAGGAGATCATGGAGTCATCGTCATGTCTCTAGGAACTCTTTTTAGTCATCTTCCACAAGACATCACTGAGGAAATTGCTGCCGCTTTTGCCAGACTGCCTCAAAAAATAATTTGGAGACACACTGGACCTCGACCTGTCAACATTGGTGATAATACCTTACTTGTGGACTGGCTACCCCAAAACGACCTGCTTGGACATCCTCAAACTAAAGTGTTTGTGGCACATGGAGGCACCAATGGAGTTCAGGAAGCCATCTATCATGGGATTCCCATTTTGGGTCTACCATTAGTGTTTGACCAACCTGACAATCTCTCCAGGATGCGAGCAAAGGGAACAGCAAAGATTGTAGATATTGCAATTCTGGACAGGAATGTGTTTCTCGAGGCATTAAAGGAGGTTTTGCATAACCCATCTTACAGGGAGAACATGCAGAGACTGTCTAGATTGCATCACGACCAGCCAATGAAACCTCTTGATCGTGCCGTCTTCTGGATTGAGTTTGTCATGAGGAATAGAGGAGCCCCTCATTTACGAACACAGTCTTTCAGAATGTCCTGGATCAAGTACTACTCTATAGATGTTATTTTGACTCTTTTGATGATATTTATGCTGTTTTGTTTTGTGATTTACTCTATCATAAAATATCTTTGTTGTAAAGTACTATTTAAAAAGAAGATTAAATTTGAGTGATTGAATACTTTGCTCAAATCTCACGACTGAAACGTCTCGATATTTTCTTGGAAAGTTGTAAAATGACACATGAAACTATATGTACATTTCCATTTTAAAATTCGTCTTTTTACCTGTGCCCATTTATTCTAGTTTTCTTTAAGAAATTTAAATCACAATGCTAACACAAATACATCATAATAGTCATTAGATGTGATCTCAATATGATATAACTGAACTATTCTGACTATTCTAAAAATGGGAAATAACTTCAATAATTTATCACTATAAAATGATTGAATCTTCTTGTATGATATGAAGATATGAATGCTGATGTTTTGAAGATAGTTGTTTCATGATACTTTTAATTAGGTGGATTGGTTTTTGTTAAACCATAGTTTACAAAATACTTTCTGCAAAATTCAGAAATAAAATAAGCTATTATTTTTGCACAAAAACACATTATTAACATTAAAATGACATAATTAAAACAAATGTTCACCTTTGAAAGTTATAACTTAGAGTTAAACAATAAACATGTTTTCACTATAGCATTTTGTATAACATTAATCCCCAGGGAATGAACGAAATGCGTTGTATGTGATATATATCTATGACGTGATATACGTGCATTGTCCAGTAGATGGCAGTAAACTGTCAACATGAGAACTGTTTGTTTTGACAGGGAATTTTGTGGCAATGAAAAACTAGTGTTTAATATGTTGATTAAAAAAGAATAATAAACTCTTACTGTTTCCTATGTGGCAGGTTTCCTATACAGGATGTATATAGAAATATTTAAATTAATGTTTTCCAAGAAGATAGTTTGTTGCAACAAGTGTGTTGTGAAACTCGGTTTACAGCAATGTCCCATGATCCTATCAATATCTATTTTATAAGCGACTACATCTAGAGTGCGAAAATTTAACCTCACAAAATAGATGTGCCACCTTGTTTTCATACATTCATCTCACATTCACAAACTATTCAATCCTGTATAGTGAAGTAAATTTTTCCTGAATATACTTGAAGCTGTTAACTGGTGAGTTACTTAAATAGCCTATTTAAAATATATTGTATTTTAAAATACATCTGTATCTATTCTAATAATGTAAAAAATGCTAGTAATGCTACTAATGCTTTTAAGTAGAAAGATTTACTTCATAATTTAAGGACTGCACATTTACACATTTATTGTAAAATACTGTTTAAATTATTTATTTATTTTTACAAAAGAAAATGCATGAAAAGCTATATTAGCCTATATGGACAAAAGGCCATTACCGCTATTCCTACAAACCATCACATTTCTTTACTTTTTATTCTTGTTGTCTGTATACGTTTGAGTGTTTTATGCCTATTTTAAACTTTGATTCATCTTGTGACCTTCCACACTTGTGTTATTCTCAATACATCTTACAGTACCAGACAGAATCAGATTAAAACTCAGGTTGGTATATTTATATTATGTAAATGTACAGGCCAGTTAGAAACTGGAATATTTCTTTTAAATCCTTGCTTAACTTTTCTTTTAAATCCTTGCTTTCTGGCTTGTGCTACCCCATGCAATGTCTGAACTTTGTATTTTGAGCACTTCTTGCTTTGTTTTGCCTCTCTATATATATAATATGATTTTAACAGTAAATCTTGGGCAACAGTTCTCAAGACCACACTGTAAAAAACTATTTTCATGATTTGTTAACTTTTTATATCTTGTCAAATCAACTTAGATAATTAATGTGGTTCAGATAACTTGATATTTTGAGTTTCTATGTATTAAACCAATTTCCTTCATTGTAGTAACTAAAATTTTCTATTTCAATGAAGTCAAAATGTTAAGACAACCAGGTAGGCCTACCTTAAATCAACAACATACACAAATGAACTTATAACTTAACAATTTTCTCACTAATTGAGCAAATTAAGCTTTAAAACTAAAATAGGCCTAACAAACAACAACATTTTCTCCACAAACCACCTGAAGACATCCATAAAGTTTCCAAAAGGGGTGTTTTGCAGTGATGGATTTTGGGTTCCCCAAAGAATCCTTCACTTAACCCTTCTTTAAAACAATTTTTTCTTAGTGTAAAGATCTAAGAACAATCTAAGGACCCTTTTGTGCATTGAAAATGTTCCATGGATGTAATGGAACCATAAAGAACCTTTATTTTTTAGGGTGTATATGCGAATTTGATGATCACCTGAGGATTGTGTCCATCTATCTGGGTCTGTTATGTAGGCAGGACAGGACAGGTTTGCTATCGCGGGAATTTAAGAGGACAGCGCCATCATCTTCAAAAGGCTCACCGGATGTAAGTGTAGCGGCGGCATCTACTTGCCGCGCTCGCTATTGCTAGGCGACGGGCTTTTTACGTGACCCGATTCGAGCTCCATCCAGGGTCGCTTCGTCATTGTAGCAGCTCCCTCTCCTCTCCACTCACTCACTCACTCACATCCTACTCGACACCCCTCTTCTCCCTCTCCTCTGCATCCCTCCTCACATATCCCAGGTAGCCAGGCGACCCACAAAATGTCTTACGCGGGGAATCCGTTGGTGATATTATTCGGGGTCTTGATGCTGCATTCGGGCTCCGCTGAGAACGGTAAGGACTTTAATGTGTTCCGATTAAAGAACCGTTTCATCGCAGATTTTGAAGGCTTTCTTGATAGGGGAACGGTTGCGGCACGTGCAGGTGCAATTTGTCTCGAGCGCGCGGGATAAACTCGAGTCTCACCAATCCCCAGCATTGCCTACTCAAAACTAAATAGCCGCTCAGGTTGAGAAAGGTGACATATGTGTGTAACAGTGTATTAAATATTTAAGAAAATGCGTCCTTGTGCGTTTAAATGGCAAAGCGCACTGCCTTCCGCATTAAAAGAGCAATTGTAGCCTATAGATGTCTCACATGCTTAAAAGCGGCTCGCCATTCTACTTCATGCTAATAAATAGGTTACATTTTAATATTTGGCGACTCGTCCCACGGGGAGCGTCTATTTGTGACTGTGATTATGACTCTCCTAGAAAAGATCCCCTTTCCAGATTTGGATGTGCTTAGATGGGTCATCGGCTGCTTGTCACAAACCGCACTTGTGCTTGATTTGCATGCGGCCAATCTAATGACTCAGGAATTCTTCTCGTGTTCCCGTTTGTTCTTCCAACGCAAACCGATCCTATTCCTCGCTCGTCAAATAACGGTAGAGGCAGGTAGGCTACCCCCTCTTTAAGCACCGGTCCTCTGCAGCGCCGTAAATAGCAGCAGTCCTTTCTGCTGCATGTTTCTATTTATAGACCCGATGCAGTAGCGGTATGCATGGCGTTAATGCCCGTCCTCTCCGTGCGCGCGGACCCGTTAAAGTCTTAACGCGGTGCATTGTGACGTCATGGACGCGCTCAGTTAATGAGCAGTAGGCTAACACATGAGCCCCTCCGATCTCCTTTCATCTCCTGGCCATGCATTAGCCTACTGCCGTTGAAATAATGCCTACACCTTTTAACATATAAATGTTATCATTTAATAGCCTACAGACATCCTTTAGGAAAAAAGTGTTAATTAAGCTGAGTTGATGTCATAGGTTACCTGAATCAAGGTGGACTCGGAGATTCTCAACTGGTTTTGCTAATGCATATTCATTTGCAACTCATTGCACGTACTGTCATGATTTATTATTCCAAAAAAAAAAAAAAAATCTTTTGTCAAATCAACTTCATTTATGTGGTTCAGATAACATAATATTTTGAGTTTCTGTTAATTGAATTAACAAAATATTTTAATTTCAACAAACTCAAGATTCCAAGGTAACCAAGTTAAACCAACAAGGCCCAAATATTTACAGCGTATAGTCCCAACAATATTCGAGTGAACCTTTTTAGATTTTAGTCTGGATCATATTTTCTTTTTTCATGTTGTCACACAACCTTTCTAGTTGACCCCTGCCAAATTCGACTAGATTCTAACAAACAAATGAATGTCAAAATCTTGTAAGCTATACATCAACAACTAAGAATGTTTTCTTAAAGGGATACTCCACTTTTTTTGGAAATAGGCTTATTTTGTTGGGTTTTACCGTTTCCGAATGTATTCAGCCGATTTTCTGATATTTAGAGGAATATCAGTAACCAGACAGTTTCTGGTCTCATTGACTTATATAGTATATTTTTTTTCCTACTATGGAAGTCAATGAGACCAAAAACTGCATGTCTGGTTACTGATATTCTTCTAAATATCAGAAAATCGGCTGAATGGATTCGAAAACGGTAAAACTCAACTGTTTAACTCTGGGGGAGTTGTAAAATGAGACTATTTCCCAAAAAAGTGAAGTATCCCTTTAATTTTTAGAAGTAGATAAGCTCATTTATCACGATTTAGTTGCGATTTAGAATTTGCAATTAGCATTGTTGCTGTCGACAGGCTTCTCAGAACAGAACTGGGGCCCATTTCCTGTTTGTGAGGAGCCATAAGCTCATGTAAAGATCAAACCTGACACTTTTCCTTTCATCTCACTCACACGCTTTTTATCTCTCGGTACAAATGTGAGCACACACACACAGGCACATTTGATCAAATGGATCATTTTTGGTATAGATGTTTTTGCATTACAAAAAGCACAACAGCGCTTGATGCCTTCAGGCTAACAAGGTTTTTGCTTCTATTTTTAGTGCGCTTTTTATTTGTATGCAATACAACCGTACAATCCCCGTCTACATATACAGTAACTACAAGTCCAGTTGCTCCTCAAGCTTAGATGCACTTACGTTTTAAAAAGTCTGTAGTTTTCATTCCTTTAAAGAACTTGGTTTAGATGTAATAATAACCATAGGCTATCTTTATTTCTCATTAGTATATGATTGTTTTATATCACAATCTCAACAGAACCAGCAGTAGACCCCAGTGTGTAAAATTATTAACATGATACAAAACAACAATCAAAAAGCCTCTCTGCACACATAACCTCAAAGGGAAACTTTCTGTTACTTTTTGAAAATTGATATGTTCTTCCTAGCACAAACCGACTGAATTTTTGTCGTTGCTGTTTACAATGAAAAGCATAAAGCATTGTTGATTGATGTCTGTCAGTTTTGCTTCTAAGTTGCACACATCAAACTCTTACTACACTATATGACTGTTAACACTTTGCGAGGCTTCATATCTTTCAATCCAATCAATTTAGACAGCAGTTAATGAGGGGATGGTGGGATAAAAGGCCTACCTGCTCTTCTACTGTTGTACGCTTCTATGGAAACCACCTGTCCATCAGCACACCCACACATGAATAGTGAGATTGCCAAAAGGCACTGTGCGTTTCTGTGAAAGAAACTCGGCTTTGTCTGCATTAGATGAATGCTGTTGTTTTGAATTTTCCAATCATCAAAGAATCCTAAAAAAACAAAATGGATCATGATTTCCACAAAAATATTTCAACATTAATAATAATAAGAAACGTTTCTTGCAAATCGGCTTATTAGAATGATTTCTGAAGGATCACAATGATGCTGAAAATTCAGCTTTTCATCACAGGAATAAATTGCATTTTAAAATATATTCAGATTGAACATTTTTAAATTGTACTACTATTTCACAATATTACAGTTTTACTGTATTTTTGATCAAATAAATGCAGCCTTGGTGAGCAGAAGAGACTTCTTTCAAAAAGATTAAAAGTCTTACTGACCCCAAACTTTTGAACGCTAAACTGCGTGTATAGTTTGAGTTTTTTAGACAAAATAATATAGAATTATTTATGCCATTGATTTAGTTGTCAGCCATACAATTAAAATTACTTATTGGTTTTTCAGCATCGACCAGAAATTAAAGGAAAAGTTCACCCAAAAATGTGTATATTTCTTCTCTCAGCCAAACACAAGTGGCTTTATATTGAAAAATATCCTGCCTCTTCCAAGCTTTGTAATGGCATTGAATAGTATCTGAGCTCCAAAAAGCACACCCATCCTTCATAAAAGTAATCCGTATGGCTCCAAGGGATAAATGGATGCCTCCTGAAGTGAAGCGATGGGTTTTGCAAGAAAAATATCCATATTTATAAACTTTATAAACTATAAATACTGGCTTCTGGCTTCACTTATGTGTTTTTTTTGTGCTTTTAGTGCTTTAAAATCTCAGACACAATTCAATGGCATTACAAAGCTGGAAAGAGCTTATTGTGTTTGGCTGAGGGGGAAAAAGTCATATACACCTAGAATGGCTTGAGGATGAGTAAATTATGGGATCGTTTACATTTTTGAGTGAAGTACTCCTTTAAAATGAGTACTTGCATGGAAAATAATAAAATATAGATCAGGCCCCGGACACAGTTTAATTTCCTCTAACTCTTCTGTCCAGTTCAGGATCTTTCACTTTGCACATGGTGACACTTTTTTTTTGCATTTTCTCATGGATCAACAAATGATTAATTTCTCATTGCACTTTTGGTTTGTAATTTGAGTTTAATCTTTTATGTTTTCTTTTTTCCACCCACTGCCCTTTCGACGTCCTTTACCTCCCCCCTCCCATCTCTTTATTTGTCACGTTTTTCCTATCTTCCCGTCTCAGCGGGGTTTGTAAAGTCCCCCCTCTCTGAGACTAAGCTGACGGGCGACACTTTTGAGCTGTACTGTGATGTTGTGGGGAAGCCCACACCTGAGATCCAGTGGTGGTACGCCGAGGTGAACAGGGCCGACAACTTCTTCCAGTTGTGGGATGGCGCGCGCAGGCAACGCATGTCCATCAACACCGCGTACGGCGTCAATGGTGTAAGCGTGTTAGCTGTCACTCGCGTCACCATCGAGGATTCTGGGATTTATGAGTGCAGAGCCAGTAATGACCCGCGGCGTAACGATTTGCGCCAGAATCCGTCCACTACCTGGATTCGAGCCCAGGCAACAGTTACGGTGTTGCAGAGTGAGTTGACTGTCCCCGCTAGTGGTGTGGCCGAAATAAACCATCCGCCCCCTTGATTTTACCTACATTTAGCGTAGTGCCATGGTTAACATTTGCTGTAGTAGATCTTCCCTTTTCCTCCTCCTTACTCATCCGGACTACAATACGGTTAGAGCACCATCTTATTAGATCACTAGTAGCTTGTAATTGCTACACACAGGCAGTGACCTATTTTCGTAGTCAAATGTCCTTGTCCTCCTTATTGAGATATTTCAAGGTTGCTTTCTTTGTGTTGATTATGACAATCAGTTTCTGTTCCAAGGAATCCATGGAATCTGGTAAGGTACAGTACAGTAGTATTTAACCATGTGTTTTTTCAATGACTGATGTCAGTACTTCCTATACGCCTGGATCAAATATGATATACAGGCCAAGAGTCCAAAAGTCTGAGACCACTATGCTTCTTTATTCACCTTATTGCTAATGAATATATATATATATACATACATATACATACATATATATATACATTCACTTCCTGTTATTTTTATCTGTACAAAACAGTTTGTTATGTTGCTTAAATTGCAAACTGGTATTCCTTACCATTATTTGAATGTATTGTCTTAATCATAAATTATGGAAGATTGTTTCCGCCACGGAATAAAAAAAAATTTAAAAGGTAATTATGACATTTTATCTCACAATTCAGACTTTTTTTCTTAATTAAGAGTTTATATTTTGCAATTGCAACAGATCGGTGTGAACGGGGATCGTTTTGACAATGTTGTCGTCTGAAAACTTTTCCGTTTTTAATACATTGTTGTTGTGCAAATGTATGTGACACAACTTTGGTCTCAGACTTTTGGACCCCACTGGATAAAGAGTATGAAATAAAGGAAAATAAATTAGTATAACCATATTATATAACCTCTCATAATATGAGATTTTGTTTTGTAATTATTTTTTATTATATGAAATTCATCATTTTAATAGTGAGCTTTAAGTATCATATGATATTCTATGAGTCTGATTGAGTCTTATTGAAATGCTCAGTGATTCTTTTGCTTATTGCTATACTGTATAAAGCTTCATCCCCATATTTATTTTCCTCTCCCACTCTTCCACACACACACATACACATATATATATATACACACATCCCCGTCACCTTCAATCAATGTGATGTAGAATTTCTCTGGCCTTGACCGATGCATCTGTATTTTCAGAACCATCAATCGATTCATCGGATCACATGATTTTGACCGCGAGTCACCACATCCCACCAATCACGCTTCAGTGCAACCTTACAGTTTCCCAAAACACCCACCGCGAGAGCTTCTGGATGAAAAATGGGGAGGAGATCTCAGACACAAGGAGCGAAGCCAAAAACACAGAGTACAGGTAGGTGCTGTTATTGGACATTAGTGAGCACTGAAACATTATGATATGAAATGTATCAAATAATAATACATTCAATTAATGTCATTAATATACTATTATAGTTTTTGTTAATATTTTGAATTTTGAGCTTGTATATTTAAGTTCAGTAATTTCACTTAAATGACAATTAATAGGTAATCTTCATTGCCATTTAAGTGAAATTACTGAACTTAAATATACAAGCTTGATAAAAATTATCATTTTAGAAGAAAATTTCAAATGGCACTTAGAGGCTTTTGCATCTGAACTCTTCATATATACACATCTATACACACACTGTGTGCATATTGGCATATTTTGACCAAAAGTGGGATTATAATTTTTACCAAATAGTTTTATATGGATGCTAACTATTTTAATGCCAAATAAAATATTTTTTGAGTTTGAGCTAAATCAAATGGTGCTACATGCTTAATTATGCGTATAAAAATAATATAATAATAAATTTTATTTTATTTATGCAATATTATTGTATACCGAATTTTTTTTTTCATGTGACCATTTTCCCACATCAGGCATGTGATATTTTACACAATGTATAGCATACATTAATCTATTAGTTGCAGCCCTGCTAGTAATACCATAAATATATTTATAAATGTGTATTTTGTATTGACAATTTGTAACTCAACAGACTTTGTTGTTTATACTTTAAAGTTATTTATACTCTATGTGCCTCTGAAGATTTCAGAATTTTAAAATAGAGGTTTTGAAACCTTTTTTTTTTAATTATTAATTTAAAACTAGATAAACTGAAAAATATACAATATTAAATAATAGATTATTTAATCAATGCAGTTCATTTAGCGCAGAAACATTTGACTGTAATATCATTCTATGCCACTATCAGATCAAAATATAGCAATATAGGCTTCTAGGTGTTAAACACGTGGTCATTTGCATTACCCGAGTTGGCGTTTGTTTTGTAAAAGCTTTATCTCAGTGACTCTCAAGCCTTGGCTCACTGTCTGTTGATGCTGCACTGCTCTGCAATGGTCTAAATCCTGAGCGAGGCCTTTCTCTCTACCAACACGTGTTGCTAATCTCTCTCCCTGACTCCTAATCTAATCAGACTAACCATATCGGCACACTAGTACGGCTAACAGTTAATCTGCATTTGTGTTCTCTCTACATGTGGGTGTGTTATTTTTCTGACTGCTTATTTATTACTCCAAAGTACTGAATAGGCCTACCATTCTATTTGAATGGGACTAAAACAGTACCTTTTATAAGTGAAAAGTGTTTTGTCTTTTACACAGAATTAATAAACCAAGGACAGATGATGCGGGCGAGTATATGTGCGTGTACACATTTGATTCGGTCCCCCAAGCTAATGCCACCATTGAGGTAAAAGGTAAGATGCCCTCACAATACCCCACATTTCTCAAAATGTCACAAAAATATAGAAATTGAATGGTCTGTGGTGTCTTTCTAGTATCACAGCGAGTTTGATTTTCAGATGGTTTGTCAACATTTTGAATCTCCTCCACACAACACATGCTGAGTCACACTAACACAGGCCATGACAGCATGATTGTGTGCTTGGTTAGTTGAGAGGGAAAGACATCCAGGTTTTTGCTCACTAGGCAGTGTGAATGTGAATGCATTGTTTGCAATCTTAATAATTAGTATTATTTGAATATATAATTAGCAATATCTGCTGCTGACATCAGAAACCACAGGACACCTTCAGGGGTCTTATAGAGTTCATTCTTCAGCTGGTCGGCACTGTTTTGGCAGCATGTGGAGGACCAATGGCATATTAGGCAGGTGGTCATGATGTTTTTGCTCATCTGTGTATATTATAAAGGGCCAAATAGGAAACAATTACATATAATCTGAATTTATATTTAGGAACTACATGACTTGCTGATCCACCAGCTAGACCTGGAAATGGAAGGTTCCACCAGCATTCATTATAATTTATGCCAAATTTCTCAGTAGAATTATAGATACAAATATATAATCCTGTGGGTATATGTCTGAGCAGACTTTTGAAATGAGCAGATCTCTTGAAATGGCGTATGTATGACAGGCCAATTCATATTTCCATTTTTGGCGTGCTATCAACAGGCATAATCGCTTTTCAGCGTGTTTATGAACGCCGTTGACTTAACGTTACATTACTGTTTAAATATATGACCTAACCCAACCCCGTCCCTAAACCCAACCGTCACTGTGGTTAATAGCATTTATGAGTAAAAAAAATTGCATTCATGAAAAAAAAAAAAAAAATCGCTCCCCAGATGTAGATCTACATTTTGCTTTCTTTCGCTCGGACATTTAACAGCGTGTACATACACGCGGAATCACTCGGACATTTAATGGCGTAGACTTACACACATACACGCGGATAGCTCAAAATTGCATATACTGTAGATAACACGCCACTTGACTTGAAAGGCTTGTATTTATAAATCCTGAATATATAAATGTACATTTATATTCAGGGTTTATATATTCAGATTTTATATAAATATTTCATGTTTGGCCCATCGTAATATACAAAGCATTTTGTTTAGTTATAACTGGGTCATTTCTAAGGCCTCAAATCAGCAATGGGTGTAAAGCAAAATGCCAGCCAGCCCAGATCTCCTTGTGATCATGTGTTTAATAATGGCCTTTAAATCTGACAGGCTTGTGTGTTTGGTTTGTGTGTTAGAGATCAGCAGCTGGTAAAGTGCCATGCGGTTTAAGCGTGGCCTGGTCACCTCTCTCTGGTTATCCTGCGGTCAGCTCACAGGCACCAGATGGTGGTTGCATGTCTTGAGGGGGTGGGGATGTAAATCTGTCACTCTTTCTCTCTCTCTGTGTCTCTTAACTGAGGTATTTGGTGTCATTTAGACTGAATCAACCTTTAAAAAAAAATCTCCTGTCGGTCATGATTCATCGTTTGACTTTTCAATCACAAGATGTGGGGATGATTTACATGTAGATGGTTTGCGGGGGGGTACTTGGCACATTATGAATAATATAGCCAGCTTCTGATGCTAATGCTTCAATACTTTCAGTGATTCATCCGTATTAATCATCTTATTATTGCCCCATATATTCAGTGTATATATTTTTTTATTTGTAAAACACAAGTGTCCTTGGAAATATTATCACATTAGATTTAATATATCAGTGACAAGAGCAAATATCGTTCAAAAGTTTGTGGTCAGTACGTTTTTTTTTTTTATTATTATTATTGTGTTTGACATTCTTTTATGCTCACCGAGGCTGCATTTATTAAATCAAAAATAAAGTAAAACACTAATATTGTTTTCTATTTAAATATATTTTAAAATGTAATTTAAAGTACTCATTTCTTTCAAAAAATGTCTTGATGACACCAAGCAATCTTTTAAATGGTAGTGTATTATCTCAATTATTAGCTGATGGCGCGGGCGCCGCCTTGACGCTCTTACGTCGTCATATTATATTAGTGCACATTATCTGATTTCATTGTGTGAAATGATTTCCAGGCGGTAGAGTGGAGCTCAACTCTAGAGTGGGAGTGGCCTGCGGAGCTGAGCATTGCAATGCACTATGGGGATTATTGTCTACAATCCACAAGCACTAAAATGACATTTTCTTCCTTTTATCGGCCAAGAAGGACCCAAATTAGAAATTTATGATACTAATCTACTACATATATGACCCAATTTCAATATATATTCATGTCTCCCCCGATGGAATTACCCTTTTAACGGAAAAAATTATTATCTGCGATTCGGCTTTAATACATTGGCCAAATTTTCTTTCAGGCCAATAATGATAACATTAAAAATGAACCGATGTGGTGGCCGATATTTCATGCATCCCTGCTCATGTCAACTTATTCTACTAACCTGAACCTTAAATCCAGATCCACTTGTGTGGCAGCATATGAAATTGCTGTGGCCGTAAGATCTTGGTTGATTACCATTTGTTTGGGCAATCAGGGAGTATTTTCTTAACATTTCCTGATCCGCCACTAGCTTTAAGCCAGCTCCAATCCTGCTCCGAAGGGCCACTGTCCTGAAGAGTTTAGCTCAAACTTGCCTCAACACTCCAACCAGGAAGGTTCTAGTATAAGACCTTGATTCGCTGATTCAGGTGTGTTTAATTAGGGTTGTTGAAGCTGAACTCTGCAGGACAGTGACCCTCCAGATTTAACATGTGCTCTATGCTATATTTACCACACAAAATGTCATTGCAAATGGCACAAGAATAAACATCCACACAATGCTTAAGGTTTCTGCAATGAAATCTTTTGTGATACTGAAGGACTCACTGTCCTTCTGCTCTCCTCTCATAGCTGCACCAGACATCACGGGGCACAAGCGCAGTGAGAATAAGAATGAGGGTGAGACAGCCGTCCTCTACTGCAAATCTGTGGGTTATCCTTATCCCCTGTGGACCTGGCGTAAACTCGATAGTGGAGCCAATATGGTATGGTCATTTTGACACAAGAGTGAGAGTATATGTCCTATACTAGATATTTAATTGCTTAGTTTTATGATCAAATCTCCGTCATTTTTGGGGGGGGCGACTCCAATATAATGATGATTGAGAATTTTTATTACAAATAAAACAAAAGCCTGATGTGTCATATTTGATACTCAACATGATTTTTCTATAAATTTACTTTATAAAAATCAGTGAAGTTTTACAGCAAAAGGCCTTGAGGCCTTAGAAATTTGAACATGATACAGTAGGCTTAATTGTATGAACTATCCCTTTAAATGTAGTTTCTGTTACTTTATCTTTAAGCCTCCATCATTTGCTGAAAAGTCTTTTTTCAATCAGAAATACTTTTGAGCGAATCCTTCCCCTGTCTTTCACCTCTCCTCACCTGTCACTGTTCCTCCCTCTCCATCAATCACTCAGGATATCGACAACTCCTCCCGCCGCTTCTTCATCAGCAGCAGGGATGGCTACACTGAGCTGTCCATCATTAACCTCGACCTCACGTCTGACCCCGGAGAGTACGAGTGCAACGCGACCAACACCATCGGCTCCTCCTCCATGAAATCAGTCCTGCGGGTCAGGAGCTACCTGGCCCCCCTGTGGCCCCTCCTGGGCGTCCTCGCTGAGATCATCATCCTGGTGCTGATCATCGTCATCTACGAGAAGCGCAAGAAGCCCGATGATATGCCTGACGGTGAGTTTAAAAGGGTGGGTTACTGTCTCAATATGAACTACTGATGCTTGGCTGATATAAACAGTTTACCTAATATACTGTAGTGCCAATGCATTGATCTACAGCGTGCCAAAAAATTATTTGCACACCTAAGATCAATACATGAATGAACAAAACATCAAATCAAGATATGTTGGTCAAAATTACGACAAAAGGGATTTGGAAATTTTCTATCCACAAAAATGCTTTGAAAAGTTATTTTTTTTTAAAAACGATAAAGCAGAATTTGTTTGCAGATGCCACTTGGCTTGGTATTTTATATCTAAATTAGTGAAATTTTTCCATTTTTAAGTGTGATTTTAAGTGTTCAAATACTTTTTAAGGCTACAAAACATACAGGAAAAGAATGACAAGTATGTATGTGTGTGTTTGGTCTGAATGGCATCAGACTGAATTATTAAGAGTCCAGGTCAGGATCAAATAACAAAGTGAGTTAAAGGTCTTGTGACACAGTGAGATAAAACTAGGTTAGAAAATAAGTTGTATTGTAAAGGATGCTTATCTTCCTAATAAATAAATATAATTGGTAAATAAATATTACCTAGACTACTGTTATATACTTTGGGGTTGGTACAATGTTTCAAAACAGACAATGTATATTCATATATATATAGAAAACAATTTATATATATTTTCCATATATATATAGAAAACAATTTCTTACTAGGACATTACATTGTAAATACTGTAGTTATTGACTAAGAAATATTGTCACATTTCTGTATTATATCAAGTAAAAAAGGATGCCACTGGACATAAACTTAAAAAACATTGAAACATCGCACCAACCCCAAACTGAACAGTAGCATATAGTCTAGGTAATGTTTATTTACAAATTAAGTTAATTTATTGGGAAGATAAGCATTATTTACATCTTATACAATTCTTACCTAGTTTTCTCTCACTGCGTCACAAGACCTTTAACTCACTTTGTTATTTGATCCTGACCTTGACTCTTAATAATTCAGTCTGATGCCATTCAGACCAGCAAACACACACATACATACTCGTCATTCTTTTCCTGTAGGGCACCGGTGTTAGGTCATCTGGACACTAATCTGATATTCAAGAGGAATATGACTCTGAGGTGAATCGGAGGTAGTGGGTTGTGAATTATTGATGCGCGTGGAGGTGTAGTCCCACGCCACTTTACTACTCGTGCTCCTCACCTATGCATTGAGTGGGAAAACAAAACCGTGTCAAGTATTGCTGCAAGCCAGGAAATTCACTTTAGACGGGTTTTATATAAAACGACTTATTTTTACGTTTAAAGCCTGCTTAAAGCAAATTATTTAGCTTTCGGGTGGAATTATATTCGTTATTTCGTACATTGAATGAGTATCAGTCGATATTTTCAAACGAACTGGACAGCTTCAGATAATAGTGAGTGACGATAACTGGGATTTCGCCTGTCCAGCATCGCCACCTAGTGGTTTCCCTCGGTATTGATTTCAGCGCCAAATAACCCAGAAACAACCAATTTATGCGTTTTTTTTTTAAAGTGTTTAAAATTGTATATAGTTCGTGGATGTGGGCGGGCATATATGTACAAATACAATATAAGGTGTATAAATTCAGTATTTAATTTCAGCCTTATTTGGTTTATTTGCATGTTTTGTGCAAGTGTTCTAGTCATTTGTGAATCACTACAGCATTAATTTAGCAATTGAATCACACTTTTGGAGTTTAATATGAGAAGACGTACCTGTCATTAAGAATTTACAACGTTAACTCATTTCTTTCTCTCTGAATGGCTCAACCTTAAACACTGGTAAGTGTCAGACCTGCATGCAGCTTGAGTGACCCTATAGCAGCATTGCACATATTCTATCTTGTCCTATGCTTTGGTTTGTATATATGTCTTGTTTGGATTATTCTGAAATGGGTTTTTTTGTTGCCTTCATTATGAGAATGATGTCTATTGCTGTTTAACCTTCAAATGACCTTCATTTATCTGTACATCCTCTTCACTGGAGTCTCTTCAAATGTATTCATGTTGACATGTGCATGAGATTTTACTTCATTTTCACCTTTCAATTATCATCTTTTAGAAAAGCTTAATATATATATATATATATATATATATATATATATTATAATTTAATATATAATACATAAATTAAAGAAATATGATGCATGAATGTAACATCAAGTTTTATTCATTATAAAGCTATTTAAGTGTAATGGAAGTAGTGGAGTATAGGTTTGTTTGCATGGTTGTATTTCTTCTCTGTTCTTGTACTGCGAGCCAGTTAACTACTCACACCAGTGCTGAAGGAGTGAAGTTTTGTTCTGTGAAATTCTACTGCGCAACAATAACTGAAATATTGAAAGACCATATAGCATTGTGTTGTTGTTTATGGCTAATTCAGTCGGTTTATGGAATTCGTTCAATAATGTGAATACTGTGCCAGCTGGAAGCATTGCTACCTCGAACTAAAATTGTCTTTGTTTTGCTTCCCATTCAGATGACGAACCAGCAGGGCCAATGTAAGTATCGGATTTACATTTAAATAAGAATTGGTATGATGCAACTGTCCTGGATAAGTGATGACAGCATATGTGTGATTTATACAGAATGTGAAGTGTTTAAAGAAACATTGAATGAAGGAAATGTAATTTTATAATGGTGTAACTTCATTTTGGATTGTCATATGGCACTCACACTGACTCATCTTTATAATCTCACCTTCAAGGAAAACTAATTCCACCAACAACCACAAAGATAAAAACCTACGTCAGAGAAATACAAATTGATTTGATCATTACAAGGTCAGTATTCAGTTACACTGAGAATTTTCATATCACTAGAATTTTAAACAATGTTATAATCTGTAGTTATAATAGTGGTAAAAAAAAATTTCACTTCATTTTCATATATATATATATATATATATATATATATTTATTTATTATTATTATATATATATATATTTATATATATATATATATATATATATATATATATATATAAACAAAAACTTTTATGTTAGATGTGATTAATCACGATTAATTGATTTGACAGCACTAGTATATATATATATATATATACACCGAATGCCACGACTGACCAATCAGAATCAAGTATTCCAAAGAGCTATGTAATGAAAGTCAAGGATCTAGACAGAGGCAATTTGTAAAGCTACAATTTGATGATCAAAGACTTCAGATTTTAGCCTTGGATCAGAGGAATCTTTTAAGATTTGCAAAAATTTGTCTCAGACGACAAGATGTGGCCAAAATCGCACAGTGTGAACCCGGCTTTACTTATCATGGCCTTTTAGTTTGCTTTCATTCACAGCATGTGTTCTTTTGTTTGATTCTCCCACCACTCCTTTGTTTCTATGACTACTGTTATTGTCACAATATAATTTCTTTCTATGACTACTGTCACAGTTACATTAAATGTGTGTTGCCCTGCCTGCCTGTCTTAGTATTATTTCTATTATCGTCATTAAAACTTCATATTGGAACTTTATTCTTCATCTTCATCCGCCCTCCTGCCACCACACCCGTGACAGTAACTCTTCTGAAAACCCCACACTATTAACCAAACTTTTTCACTTCTGTTTCTTGTTCACAGATAAAGACATTCACATCATGACCATATGAACATTACTCATTAACGGTTCAGCGCATTGGTAAACAAATAAAAGGTGGAAGGAGTTAAAGGGAAGACTGAAATGAATGAGCTGCCGAGGCATGCCTTATAAATCTGGCGTGAGGAGGACGAGTGAACCCGAACGGAACCTGATTCTGAACATTTCCTTGCATGATTGTGTTGCGTTTTTCTTTAGAATCTCTTTCATTCGAGTCGACTTTTTTTCCATGTCAGGCAAAAGTACAAAAATAATAATTGCATGCAAGATATTCTACTGTTTGATACAGGCTGATTGATTTTTTTTCTCTCCGTTTGTGTATTATGAATGACTTCTGTTCAAGCAAGCCTTTATCTTATCGCAAATATGCCACCATGATTCTGGTATGACCGTTTTTGTACAGATTATCATGTTACGGTATGGTGGCATACGATTCTATCAATCAATCGTATGAATCAAGGGCTTTGCAAAGTCTCCTGCAATGTTTAATTTGTACATGTATTATACATTGATGTATGAAATCACTTGAAATATCTATAGATATCTGAATGTTCTTCATACTGATGCACTTATCTCTTCAACTAATATTCTCGCAAACCAGTGACTTCGTTTTATACTCATGTACCTTATCTTCTTTGATGGCTTTTTATGTATGCATAGTATACAGCATGGCTTTTATTCTATGCAATATCTTTACAGTAGAACACACTTTTTAGCTTTTGGTTGTGTATAATTAAGCTTTAATATTATAAGTTAGCAGAGTGCTCTGTTTAGACCATGAGAAACAATCCACATGATGCATGAGTCCTTACGCATATAAAAGGTCTACTAATTCAGAATGTGAAGAGAAATTAATATTCTATCAATCGACCAAGGCATACAGTATACAGTCATTTTTAACAATTAAAATATCCAAAGTCAAATGCGTTGTCCTCTTTTATAACATGATGCCTTGTTTACTTTAACACGGGTTTATGTAAAGTACATGATAAACTGCAAACAATGACATTTGAAGAAAAAGGGGTAACATTTATGCATGTTTGTGACAACTGTCATTAAGTGTCATTCGCTCAGTTATGACATTTTGAATGCAAATATGACATTGTTTGAGATGTCTTTGTTATGACACCTTGACATAAACCAATACATCATAACCTGTCAGGGTCTTTATCATGACAACGTGACATACTAAGACAACACAACAATGACATAGCAGATTAATTATCAAACTTAAGAAACCACCTAGCTTTATTGGTTAACATTACATTAAACTGTCAGGTGGTTGATCTTGACATTGGCTGTCAATCATGAAGCCATTATAACTTTTTAATGACAAATTCAATTAGTACCACTGTAGTTGAAGTCACGAAAAATATTCATGACACTGTTATAATGCCTCATGACAGCCAATGTCAAAGTTGTCTTAATTTTATGTCAAGTTGTCATGACAAAGATACTGACAGGTTATGGTGTATTGGTTTATGTCTAGGTGTCATAACAAAGACATCTCAAACAATGTCATATTTGCTTTCAAAATGTCATTATAGAGCGAAAGTCACTTAAGTTGTCATAAACATGCATAAACCCTATTTCATAGTCAAGATATATGTAATGTCATGGTTATGAAGGTGTCATGTCAGTCTTATGCACACCCCTTCATGTGAAGTGTTACCAGAAAAGGTTATTTAATTCACTTTTCATTTTAAATAACATTTGTACAAATTAAGAAACTCATAAACATACTTTATCACTAGAAAAAAAAATAACCCTTTTACCATTAAAGTATTATGTAGTCATAAGACATTTGTCCTAGAACGTTAATGTTGAGCGTTTCTTTAAATTTGAGTCAAGAACCCCATGGTATATGCTAAAAAAGTTGTAAATAAAACAAAGATTTACAGAAAAATACTATTTCAGTTTTGCTATTTCAAAATTTCAAATTGTTGCTTCCCCTTTTTTGTAATCATATATAAAATTTACTTGCAATATAAAAAAAATCACTGTTCAGAATATATAGTTTTTAGAGTGCAAGCTCAAAAATATAAGTGGAGAATACGGCATTGTTTGAAACCATCTGCTCCAGTATTGACATGATATTTGTGTGGGTGTTTATACTGCATATTTCAGGATTTTGTATTTATTGAATTAATTTTTTAATCATCCTAGTTACTGTTATGCCTGCGGTCCTAAAACAAATATGTCTGTGCACCAGAGGGGGCATTGCTGACCAACGCTGAAACCTCCAAAAGCTTCAACAACAATGAGTTCTGCAACTGTATTTGGAGATACCATTTACATTATTAACTTTTCAATTCAAACCAGGTGTCTCTGCATGGGTAAATATGTTTTTTTAGCACATTACTAAAAAAATATTTTCACTATTTGTCATCACAACTGAGATAATGTGGTCCGATAACATCATATTTTGTGTTTCTGTTGATTAAATCAATCTACATTGTATTAACACGTATGTGTAATAAAAAGAAAAATGTATTTCAAAGAACTCAAAATTTTAAGGCAACCACACAGTAAAAATGAATGTGCTTTTTCTAATCAATAAAATTGTAGCAACAGATTACAAGTAAAATTATATTTATATAAAATTATATATATAAGTAAATAAATTGAACAAATTAGAATTGAGTAATAGTTAATCAAATTATATTCCTTAAAAGTTAACCATTTAAAGTTTACACCAAAAAATTCAACAAAAATATCTGAATAACAGACTGACATCAAAGATTAATTTTTTTTTTTTTAAAGTTTTACTCATTTTAACTGGTTAATTATTACTCAATTCGAATGTGTTAATTGAATTAAATTATTGCTTGTAATCTGTTGACACAATTGATTTGATTAGATAAAGCTCATTCATTTTTACAGTGCAGGTAACTTACTTTAAGTTAA